TAAGCTATGCCTTGTCTGTTTTAGTGCTCCCCCGGGCCCCCTCCCCCTGAAATGTAGAGGCCTACTTGTACAGGTTCCACTCCAGTGGCCTATCTAGTGTGTCCATGCTTGACTGCCATAAGGCTCAAGAGGTATAGGATAAGACTCTGCGTGAGCAAAAGACACTAGCGGTCTGCACCTCAACCGTGTACGCCCTAGTCACTCTTTCAGTGGTAGCGGAGCAGTGATCCTGGATTCCTAGGCATAGACTTGCTTCTAGGCAAACGGCCATGGATTGGATTGACGACTGGGAAGAGCCTGATGCGGATGTGGCTTATGAGCCAGCAGCCTATGTGAATAGGCATGTGAGAAGAGAACCAGCAGCGATAGCAATGACAACACAGGTCACTACAAAGGTGCCCCCATCTTATGATGGAAAGACTTCATGGTTTTCCTATGAGGATGCCATAGACGATTGGTGTGATATCACCGAGCTGGAGGATGAGAAGAGAGGACCAGCATTGAGAAACCGACTAGAAGGAGAAGCAGCTGTATACAAGCGAGTATTAGACAGAGATGCATTGAAGGCAAATGATCCACCAGGAGCAGGAGTAGAATACTTCAAACGAGTACTACGTCCATATTTTGTGAAGGGATCAACCAATGTATTCCTGTATAGGTTTATGCAATTCGTGCGCTTCAATCGCGGATCAGCTGATATGATGAAATGGATGACAAGATTTCAGATCCTACTCCAAAGGCTTATGAGCAGTTGGATGGACATGCTGGATCCAGTAACACAAGTACATCCTCAGGTACAAGCTCAAATGCAAGCAGATGCAGCGATGACTGGAGTAGCTCCAACAGCGGAAAGAGTACAGGAAATCATGCAGAATGTCAATGGCAATCTGAGAATTCTTCATCAGAACGATTTTCCTTTAGGAGAGAATCTCATTGCCTTACTCATGCTGTCACTCGCAGATTTGTCTCAGGACCAGAGGAACACTTTGACCTCTTTGATGACTCATCGTGGTAGAGTCCTGCAGCAATACACTACAATAGAGTTGAGGACAGTTTTCATTGAGATGTTCTGCACAACAAAGACTTCAGTAGACAATCCTCTGATGCAGCCAACAGGTGCTGGAGGTAGAAGATCATTTCTTGTACTAGACAAAGGAGAACTCGATGGTACATATGGCTATTGGGCCGAAGATGAAGAAGATGGAACAGAAGGATTCCTAGATGCCCTAGACGATGTCTTTTGGGTATATGATGAACAGAATTTCTCTTGGTTCCAGAGGAGATTCCAAGGAAGAAGAGCCAGAAAAGGCAAAGGAAAAGGTAGAAGAAAAGGAAAAGGCAAAGGAAGATCAGGCCGCAGATTCTTCAGACCTCGTGGAAAAGGAAAAGGAAAGAGACGAGGTAAAGGCCATTATGCTGATGAGCAATCGACAACTTATCCAGATGAGTATTTTGAAGAGAATCCTTATGAGGACACTTGGGAGTCAAACCAAGTAGCATATGATGCTATTCTTGCCGAAGATATGAATGACTATCTTCAAGGAGAATATGAAGATGCCAATGACTTTTGGCAACAGCTTGAAGAAGCATGGTTTTCCCACAAAGGAAAAGGAAAAGGCAAGAGAAAAGGCAAGAAAGGAAAAGGAAAAGATAAAGGAGATGGCAAACAAGATGCAAACTATGCAAATCAACAACAGCCACGTTCTTTACCTGCACCTTCAAGAACTTCACAAGCATCAGGAAGCAACCAAGGTTTCTTTGCGCATTGTGTGACAACAGTAGCTGAAGTCCATGACAGTGAGGTGGACTTGCTGTCAGGCATGATGACCTCATGTCAAGATGAAGCTGACTGTAAGGTCAACAATGGTGAGACGATCTTCGATGACATGAGTGCCCCTGTGAGGTACTCTTTGTCAAAGGAGATGCTCGCAGATGCTCCTGACGGCTTTGCGCTTATGAGCGCTGAGGAAGAAGTGAAGGAGATGCAGGCTATTTCATTTTTGACTGAGAATCGCTTCCCGCCAACTATTGCAATCCTGGACATTGGATGCACTAGAGCTATGGGATCAAGGCGTGCAGTCGATTATTTTTGTAACTATGTCGACAATCATCCAGACTGTGGACTATGGTACTCCTTTGAGTCTACCAAGAGCAAGTTTTACTTTGCCAATTCTCAGAAGGCTTCTTGCTCTCAGAAACTGGTGATTTACATGTATGATCGTGCATGGACGATCCACCATACAGAGTTCGACATAGTTGAAGAAGGAGAAGTCCCTTTGCTTATGAGCTTGCCACAGATGAGGAACTTAGGCTTTGAACTCAGGCTGACACCTCAACATGCTTACCTGACATCGGTGCCTCTTGGTATCAAATTCTTGGAGTTGAAGGTTGCAGCCAGTACTCATCTTGTTTTGGACTTCCAAGATATTGCATGGTATCTGTCTGACGTGCGTTTGCAGGCTCGACGCGAGAAGAGCTTTTACTCTCACTTCACTCACTATGAATATGGCCATATTTCGGTTGATCACAATAGTGATGAAGATGAAGCTGAGCACGCATATCCTGTGGTTGACTACTGGGAAGTAGATCTTCACAAGAGAGAACTGACACGTCACCACAAGGATTACAGGAAGATTCTTTTCCCAGCAACTAAGTCCTGTCCTGTAGACACTGACTTGCTGGAAGACTTGCGACTGACAATCATCAAGAAGAAAGAAGGAGGACAAGAGATCAAGAAGATAGATGATTGGCGCAAGGCAAAATGGAAGGACCTACAAATTGGCTATGAATGGCGTGGTAGAACAATTTTTAAGTTCAAGCCAGATGCCAAAATTCCAGATCTAAAGATCAGGAAGGCTGGCATTGAGCACCGTGGCATTGGTGATCCCGATGCAGTGGTGCGCTCCTCCTCAGAGAAGGTTCCCATTGCAAAGGACAGGGAACCAGGCTTCTCTTCAGAGAAGGAAGGTGCACCATCCAGTGCCGCGGAAAAGCCCGTGCCGCCGAAGTTTCGGTATACTCCAAAGGGTTTTGATCCATTTTGGAAAGGACACAAGTCGAAACCATCTGAGCCTCCACAGGATTTAAAAGGTGATGATCCTGAGGGTTATACTCCTTCAGAACCACCTGAGAGGCCAGAAGGTGAACTTGTAAAAATTCCTAAAGCATCAAAAGGACCATCAAGTGATAAACATGAACCACTTGAACCAGGTGATGGCGCTCTCGAGCCTAGGCGGATTTCAATCCCATTACCTGGTAGTGAAGTTGTTGCAATGACACCGGCATATAGGAAGATGTTACAGAGACTGGAGGACAAGGTAGAGCTTTATAAGCTTCATGTGAAGCACTACCATATGAGTCCTACTCAGTTTCGTAGACGTGTTTCTATGTTGAAGCTTCCTGACTCTGTTTTAGAGAAGTATGAATCAGTTGTCAGGAACTGCCGTGTTTGTAACACTTCAGTGGCACCTCCGCCACGAGCCAGAGTCTCCGGTATTAGAGCTTCATGTTTTGGTGATGTTGTTTTTGCTGATCATTGTGAGGTTGAACTTCACAAGAACAAGTATATCATTCTACTTGTTCTTGATGGTGCCACAAATCTTCTCTGGGCTACGGCACAGAAAGACCTCATAGATCAAACCACCATCCGAGCATTGAGACAATGATCTGATGAGAACAATTGTGTTCCGAAGGCCATCGTAGCAGACGAAGCCTTTTTCACAGATGCTTTTGTTGAATACTACAGGTTTCATGGTATACAACAATGTCCTTGTGGGCCAAGAACTCCTTGGCCGAACCGAGCAGAGACAGCTGTACGTTTGTTCAAACGTATGTGGCATGTTATGAAGGTAGATCTGGATGACCCACGTTTTCGTGGTGTTACGGTCAGAAAAGTGGTCAAGAAAGTAGTGTGGGCAAGAAATTGTCAGTTGACTATCAGTGGATATTCACCAATAGAGATAGCAACTGGAAGACGTCCACCAGATCTTTTTGACCTTGAGACCGCAAGCCCTGAGCAATTGTCAGCTAGTGCAGCCGCACAAGATCGTACAAATCTGGAACTACAACGTGTAGCTTTGAGAGCTCATCAAGAAGCACGACAAGCTCAGGACCTTCGAGCAGATCTTGCAAGAAGGACTATGCCAAGTGACGGTCCTTATTTCCAAGGAGAGAAGGTTTTTATTTGGACTCAGGATTCATCAAAGTTCAAGGATAAAGGACGTTGGGTTCGTGCCACAGTACTTGGACAAGAAGGAGCTATGGTCCAAGCCAACACTGGTAAGGCAGTGGTACGTGTGAATCAGTCAAAGGTTAGACGTGATCACGATGAGTGGCATGATGTTTCCATACCGGCATTAGACGATGAGAATCCGGAGAATTTACGTGAAGATCACGAACTGTATGTTGATGCCGAATTTGGAGAACAGTCCTTTTTCTTTTGTAATGATGATCATCCTGATGTTGTTGAGTTACTTCATGGAAACAGTGGATTATCTTGGTTCCTTTCAAAGAATGGTGTTAGAGTTGCATCGCCTATGGATTTCAAGGCAGGATACAATTTTTCCACTCTGAAGGGTCAAGATGGTATTTGGCAGCAACTTGAGTTTGCAGCCTCACTGTATAGTGATCAACAACCCTTCTCCCAAACAGAACAGAGCTTCTATTTGGTTGCTATGTTGCAATGTGATTGAGTGGCAGTTGAGAAGGAAGAAACATGTGT